GTATTAAATCTATCCTTTTTTTTTTTTGCATTGGTGCCAGGTAGAGGATGAAACTCTACTGGTGTTAAACATCTCCTGACTTTTCACTCAGGCCACCACGAGGTTCACATTTACAGTGCCGATATAAAGTCAAAGTATTCGTCTAATACTTTGATTTATGACTAAATAAACCCTGAAATACCCCTGAAATTACTTTGTTCTACTACTTAGTTCTACTTCAGATTTAGTGCCGATAAGCAAAAACTGTAGGCCGCATATAAAAGCTAAACACACCCAAGATCGCAAAAAATAAAGCATTTAGCTCAAAGCACCACTGTTCATACATCCCCACAGATGCTAACTTGGCTAAAGTCTTGTGTTTTTATTTTCTTTATCAGTTCCTGACCTTCAGATTCATCTGGGGCCCAAACTCTAAACTGAAAACCACTGGAATAAACTTGGTAACACTAACATTATCAACTCGACTGGCAACAGTAACGGATTTAAATATGAAGTATATAATTATATATCGGTCACAGGCAATTATTATTTTTTGCATAATGAGTACTATTACTTTTGATACTTTACTGATAATACTTTGATTCATTTGTATAAAGAATCTGCGTTCGTCTTCTCACACTCTGCACACATGCTGAACTTTATCGTCCCTCCACCACTGATTTACTGTACAGCATTTTGGAAAGGAGTTTTATATAAAAAAAAATAAAAAAGGGATGAACAAACATAAGACGAAAGTTTTTACAATTACTAATCCTGAGCAGCCATGTAGAAAAAAGGGAGGTGATGTGGAGGTGGAAGTACAGGAAGAGGGGGCAGCTGAAGGCCAACTGGGACATTTCTGCTCTTGTAACTTATCCTGTATGTTGCCTGTGCAGAGCTCCTGTTAAAACCTGTTTACTGCATGGTGTGTAGCTATGAGGTATAAAAGCCTCTCGAGTTGACGCTGCTTCTCGTCAAAGGGAAATGGGTCAAGGTCCCGGCTTCTCTCGTGTCAGACTCTCGTCCTCCACGTCCTTTGTCAACTGGCCTTACACCTCGCAGCCAAACTAGTGTCCTCCAGCTCCAAACAGGTTCCATGCAGTAATCCTGTTTAATACCCGGCTACTTTTGATGAGCATATTTGAAAGGTTTTCTCCAGACGTGATTCAAAGAGCGCAGAGACAAAAGGAAACTGGAGCTAGTTGCCACCTCTCTCTCTCTCTGGCATACAGTTACAACTCATAACACATGGGCACATTCAATGCAGAAAAGAAGTGCACCCCGTGGGAACAATACAGCACAACTTATCACTTGTAATGTAACATGGTCATTATTGTGTTTGCGAATGAACGGCACCTCAAGAAGGGACCTCATCTCACCTGTCGCTCCATTTCTGCCAAAAAAACGTCCACTCCGCACCTTTTAAGGTGCTGTTAGTGAAACAATGTGATTTATTTTCAAGCAAAGTTATTGTCGATGGTGTTTCAGAGTTGTTGTAGCATCTCCTCCTCACTTAGCAAATTTACAGACTGACGCTGAGATCTTCACATACAAACATGTCAAGACTTCTACCTGTTTATTGAGGCCTGTGCTGCAGTTATTTGACCTGATCTGTGGAAGAGTGATTTGCTGTTTTCAGTTAATATCGGAAAGGTCAGGGGGAAGGAGTTGGCCTCCTCCTTTGATTTAAAGGACCGAATAACCCCACATTCAGCTGCATTAAATCAGTCAACTTTAATACCCTTCTTTAAACAGGAGCCAAGTACTGTAACTCAACTTGAGCAACTTATTTTCAAAGGCTCAGTCGTAAATAGCTACAGAAAAAGAAGGGTCACAAATATCTGCTGGCAGGGCGGCTTAAGAATGTCACCCGTGCAAACACACACACCGCTCTGCAGGGTCGGGGAGGCTGGGGACACAGCAGGGCATGCAGGATTAAAACAGATCAAAACAAAGTTAATAACTGCTAATGAGAGTGTGGGGCTCCCCGGGGACTCAATCCCAGTGCACCTTTCATTCTTCTGGTCCAAACACTCCTCTCTGCTCAGTCTTTTGTTTAACTGTCTTACCCAATCTCCACTCACACGTAGGAGCTTTGCTTGTGCAAGGAAGCGAGACATGTGAGAGTGTGAGGCGGTGCTGCTTTGAAGCTTCTTGGTCAATATAAGTCACTATTTTGCCATCAAAACAAATTGCTTCTCTCTCTCTGCAGTACCCATCTATGTGCCGTTCCTGATAGTGGGCTCTGTGTTCGTGGCCTTCATCCTGGTGGGATCCGTGGTCGCCGTGTGCTGCTGCCGCTGCCTCCGGCCCAAACAGGAACTGTCGTCAGGAGGTACGACAGGAGGCGGGGCCGGCGGTGGGCGCCTCTTGGAAACCATCCCCATGATGGCGAGCACCTCCAGAGGCTCGTCATCGCGCCAGTCCAGCACGGCCACCTCATCCAGCTCCTCTGCCCCACCCACCGCACCCCGCCCTGCTCCCCCTCCCCTCATGCGGGCTCAGGCCTCTTGCTGTCTGCCGCCTGACGCCAGCGTCTTTGTCAACATGCCCACCAATTTCTCTGTACTCAACTGCCAGCAGGCCACCCAAATCATGCCTCACCAGGGACAGTTCCTGCACCCGCAGTACATTGGCTACGCTCACCCTGTGTCCCAAGCTGCAGCCTTCCTGGACCCCACCCATGGAGGATACAGGCCCCTGCAGTCCCCGTGCCCTCCTCCCACCGGAGGGTCAAGTGTCGTCAGTGACCAGAAATACCCTCCAGTAACAGTGTGATGAGGGGCCAACATGTAGTCCACTCTGCCACTTTGTTGCGAAGACTAACTTGTGAAGTTTAACATGAGAGGGCTGCGCCAGAGACCTTTCGGGGACACTGCCAGAGTGGAAAAAGAAAGGCAGGGAGTCAAACTCACATGAAGGACTCATAAAGCCATTGCTGGCAGCAGGGCCTGTCCCGCTATTGTGTGTGGTGTGTGTCTGTTATGTATGTGTCATGTGACCTGTTGCCAAGTTGAAATGAGCTAAGCTCAGTCTCTGATGGGGTACGGTGGATGCATAAACAATTTTCTGTCTTGATACAAAGATCAAACTGTATATCGGAGAGTTACACTGCCCAGATGGGTGATAATGCACAGCAAAGTGCAGCCTGCAGCTCAAATCAAGACTGTGCACGTGTTTGTGTTTGCATGTATGTGTATGGGAGAGTGGGAAAAAGGTTTGTTGGCTCGAATCTGCTTGAATGAATGATGACTGGATGATTTATAACAGTGGGCTGTACGAAAAGTGGTTATTCAGGCAAAACAAAACAAAAAAGAACACATGCTGTGTTTATGCCATGTGCACATGTGCACTTGTGAATGGTTGTAAGTGGTTTATACAATACAGTATGTTTGTGTTGAAAGTATGAGGACAGAATGTGAGAAGATGTTTGTACTGTATGTGTGTGAGTTTGTGGGAGTGTGTGAAGTGTGGAGGGATGTGGTCGTATGAGTAACTGTGAGTGAACTGTGTGTGTAATGGGAAATGCAGGTGGTGTGATGTGAGAGGCAGTTGCAATCTCCCTGCAGACCATTTAAAATCTAATGAAGTGAACACAGGACGCAGACTGTGACGCTCAACTCTGCTACACAGCCTCCCTCCTGCCACCCAAAAAGAATAAACACAAAAACTTCTGGCCCGACTGCACTGAGCGGAAACACACAGACACATGAAAAAAAAAAAAGAAAAAGACAAATTTCATGCAAGGCCGCCAGTTAATGTACGTGAGTGTGTGACAGAGAAGAAGTTAGAGGCTGCTCTCTGAAGATTGAGGTTAATTATACAGTGAAAAACTGCCAAATGTCCCCCCCCTCGCTTCTCCCCTGTGAGGAGTGTGTGAGCATGTGTGTTTGTATTTAACACCCCCACAGCTCAGTGCGTTAGCAGAGGGCACAGGCAGCTCCAGGGCAGCTTTGACTCATTATTTTCCACTTAAGAAAAGGCAAAGAAATGGTGATTATCAGTTGTTAAGGAAAAAAAAAAAAAAAGTGAAACCTGCATATTTCTGTTTTGCAGCTGGTAACTCACAAGTAACAGTAATATGCAATTTGAGAAATGTGCTCCACCGAGTGAGCAGCCTGACATGTCCCACTACGACAATACTGAAACCAGTATGTCTGTGTCTCTCGTCTGTACTCCGAGCACAATGTCTGTAACAGTAGGCAGCTTGTGTGTGAAAAGAGTGTAAAGTGTAAAATGGTGGATGAAATTTGTCCTCGTGTTTTTGTCCCCTCTGTGATTTGATGCAGGACTGACACATTTCATATGAATTTCAGAAAAAATAAACAACTTTTAAAGCAGAAAACATGTGTTGAGGGCTTACGTTACAGTTTTACGTCACTGTCTAGAGTCCTAACTATTAAACGAGAAAGGTTTCGTCTTTTAAAACCCTTTGGGGAAATGTTTGTGTTGTTGTCCCTCCAAGTTACTTCAATTTACACACCAACACTTGGAGAAGAGGCGTGGGAGAAAAGACCAATACATTTGTGTGGTGAATGGGTTTGCAAAAAAGATTATCTTAAATTCTCTTTTTCCTTCGAACACTTACTTACTTGGCTGTAATTACACACATTCACAGACAGTGCTACTACCTGCAGAGGACAAAAACAAATACCTGTCACATCACCCGACAGAGAGCTGAGGAACAATAAACCACAACAATGGACGGTTTAAAACCTCCACCATGCAGAGGTGAAGTTTTGGCAGCGTCCACCACGTCCTCAGCTGCAGTAATGTGGAAACCAAGCGGGGGGGGGGGCGTCAGGGAGCCACTGGGGAGGAGTTGAAAAAGCATAAATGGTTCCCTGGCTCTCGCTCGGCTGCGGCCCGATGGATTCTCCATACTGTTGCAGCTGTAGCCGGTTTGGGCTGGGCCACATCCAGGAAGGTGGGCGGGAAAAGGGATCGCCAGCTCTGGACTCTGGTGTCCAGGGGCCGGGGCGTGCAGTAATCTACTGAGGGTCCATCTCTATTAAGTCTCCTGAGCTTCGAGAAGGAGCGTGGGAGAGGTTTGATTCTGTTGATATAGGAAATCATATACATGTAATGTACAAATCAAACCTTTTGTCAAAGCAGACACGCTGTAGCCACAGTTTGACTCAAAAAAAACCCTTGAATGCACGAGCAGACAGATTTCAGTCAACACACAGAGACATTTTGTCAGGCCATGGATTGATTAGATTTAATGATTAGGACTTGAGTGGACAACCCCCCCTTCCCTCCCACTTCAGTCTTGCATTCCTGAAACAGTGTCCTCAACACAGAGAATGCAGACAATGGACTCTACATACGGACAAATCCCGGAGCCAGAAAAACACATGATCCAGGCGAGAGTCTCAATCACATCCCTTCTGATTGAATGCCTATTAGCACTAGTTCAAGTAAAATACTCCGTCTAAGACATGTCTCGACATATGAATACAAAAAACAGGCATTGATGAAACAGAAAAAAAACACATACACATTAATGTTCGCTTTAATAATAATAATAAAAAAAAGTAAAGGAACAGTCCGGAAAATAGAATCCAACAGAACTGTGGAAGAGGGTAGCGCTAATGCCAGGCCTGCTCAGCTGACGATGCCAGTCGGGCAGCATCGGGAAATCACAAGAGTGGTCGGAATAAAACACAGGAACGATAAGATGGATTTTTTTTTTTTGTTACTGGTCAGGGCGAGGAGATGTGCAGCAGTTGGATGAGAGATGTGAAAGCTGCAAAGGACGGGGGAGATGGGAGAGATACGAGGAGAGAAATGAAGGGAGAGATAAGCGAGAGGAGGTCCCAGGGGAGCAGGAGGGGTTCAGGTCCAGTTTGGGGTGAGGTGTGCGTTCTGCCTCAGCGAAGTCTCTGTGGTGTTTGGCAGTGAGGCTTGAGGCTGTGATGGGACGAGGTGGGTGCTGTAGCTGCGGGTGCAGGGCTCCTTCCTGCAGTCCTCGGTCTGTGCTTCCCTCCCTCCCTTTGCAAGAATTCTTTTGCGCTCGCATGTGTGTGTCTGCGTGTGTTTATTTTGATGTCCCCTCCCGTGTCGGCATGTGGTAACAGACGAGCTAAACCGACCTCACGAGAGCAAGATGAGAGGGAACCGAGGAGGCTGACACACAAACACACACACACTGGCTGACACACACATGCACAAGAAACACAGGTGTGTCAATGCTTTCAAACATACATGCACAGGCAGATACAAACGCACTACATTGCGCACAAACAAACACACACATAAACACACAGTGGCATGATCCAAACCCAGTCTGGGGGGTATACAGGTATGAGTAGCAGTCTGAGTCGTCATGTCTGTGCATGGATATGATTGCTCATGCCTGTGCAGCTTGTGAAAGTTTATTCTGTATACTCGGCCTGGTCCCCTCTCTCAAGTTAGTCCTCTATGCGTCAGCTCCACGCCTGACCGTGACCCCCACCCCCGGCGAGGGGGATCAGGTCGTAGTTCCAGTAAGGCCACAGCAGGGGTCGATCACCCAGCGTGAGGGCGTCACGTAGAAGTCTATCTCCGCTGTCGCCTCGATAACCGTTGCTACGGCGAGCCAAAGTCTTGGCCAGGGGTGGGGCTAGATGCTGGGGCGCTGGCGGGTGGTGTCGTAGGAGCGCACGACCTGGGATTGGGACACCACGCCGTGCTCCTCCTGAGAGAAGGCGTAGCCATCTGCAGAGAGGACGGAGAAGAAACATGTCAAACTATGAACCACCTTTGTGCTGGTGGATGTTGTTAATCTGCCACAAATTCATCACTGATATTAGTCTTTATGTATTTTCACATTATTATGTTGGTATTTTAGAATGTTATGTGCTTTCATGTTTCCAATCTAACTAATTCATATTTAAATTGATATTCAGTTCACTATACAGAGAGAGAATGGTTAGAGGAGGACCCGCTCTACCCCCTGAGCCACAGCCATTCACTTCTCACTCCATGTATCGCACAGATCTTAAAACATCACTATCAATATAAGTTTAAAAAGGTTTTGATAGAACAGAAACTGAACAGATTTTGCAAATATCCACAAAATAAAGTGAAACATTTCCAATTCTTTTGAGTATTTCATGTAATAAGAGTGAATAAATAAATAAAGATTTTCTCAGGCAACAATTGCAACAACAATAATTGACAAATGTGGACTTACATTGCAGATGTTAATATTAGGCTTAAAGCCTTGAAGCAGGACTTTGATGATATTATAGTAAATGTATCTGGGAGAAGAAACTCACGTGACACAGTCTGCTGCACCGAGTTTGAGCGTCCTACACTTGAAGGTGTTTTCCTAAAGACTCTTGTCAGCAGATGGGCTCGTTCGTTTAGACTAAGAAAGAAAGAAAGAAGAAGAGCAGTTACATCCCAGTGACAACATGTAATCACTGGTTTACAGGTGATTGAAGAGAGAATCTCCTCTACTCAACGCTACAGCTAAAAAACATCACAGGCTACTGGAAAATATATTTTAAATCAGGTTCATAGACTTTTAATTTCTGAAGCTAACGCAGAATGGTGAGTAGGGAGATACTCCTTCGACCTTCAAGTGTCTTTGAGCAAAACAGGCAGTATACGTGGAAAAAGTAAAAACCTCCGTCAGGGGTCCACACACAGGAGAAACACACAGATCAATAAGTCAGCAACATAAGTGGACTTAAGACCAGAGAGTTGGTAGGAGGTGGATTTGACTCTGACTGCTTCTGACATTCAATTTGAGCCAACAGTAATTCATAAACTGCCTGCAGGGCAACAGGACATCCACAGTAAACTACTCCTCACTCCCCACTCCTCTCCTCTTAACTCCCCCTTTTCCAAGAAGAAGACTGGATCCTCTGTTCTAAGACCACACGCCGTCACGGCCCCTCTCCTCCCGTGACCAAAAATAACTAAGCCTTCTCCAGGTTTTGCACACAAATGCACGTTTGCACATGCACCAATTAAGTTCTTATACTTCTTTCCAGTCTCCTCATCATTATTACAGCCATTATAGTTGTTAGACGAAGCCATCGGATGGAAATCTCACAGTTGTGTCTTTTACTGCCTCGTCAGGGAGTCGTTATCTTTTGGCAATTTCATTTGTAAAAACACATTTTCTATCTTATTTGGCATTAACCAGCGGTAAATTCACACAAGAGGGGGTTTCCTGGCGCTAAGGCAGCCAGGATGATGATCAATGGAGTAGTTATGGGGGGGAAAAAAAGTCAGCCTTCCTGAGTTTCAAATTTGAAGCAAGCAGTTAGGAAATTCTCAACACTGTACGTGACTGTTGGGAACCTTCAGTGGAGTGTGAAAAAAACAGGCGGCTCTGAAGTTTGTTCAAGCTCTCTTTGGCCAAAAAAAATGATGTCTGTTAGAAAGATGACAGCGCTGAGAAAATGATAAAAGACTAAATGGTGGTTGGACAAACAAATGAAAGGCTCATGCATGAGTACGACTCAAGTTCTCCACCAGTGATGTTTCATTCTGACGACCTCCTGATTCAAAACGGTCCAAGGATGTGCTCCGTTTGAACTCTTCCCCCGAGACGCTCCTGTACGCTACCTTTCCTCCTCCTTTCCCGAGCAGACTCCATCCAGGACCTCCCCAGGAACTACAAACACAGATGTGCTTCTTTTCCATTTTGCTCAATTTCCTCCCTGCCCACCCTCGCTTTACCTCTCCTGATTCTAAATGGAGAAGGGCCCAACGATCCTGGATTTAGTTGCAGGGTCAGTCGGGACGGGGGCCACTGTGGTCACCCACTCATCCCTCGTGAACCTGACAACATACCTCAGACCTCACCAGTGATTTCCAAGAACCAAAACTCCTCAGAGAAAAAGCTTGTCCTGGTCGACTCACGTCTGACTCATTATTACAGTGAGACATAATATCAACTCTTTGAAATCCACACTGGAAAACCAGTGTGCAAACATATTCTATTACAAGCAAGGCCTGCTTTAAAAAATATTATCATCAAATACACTTTAAAAATCAAAAGCACTACTAATTGTCATTGCTAATGTATTCACATGTAAGCAGCATTTTAATTAAGAAGCTAGTTCAGATGGTACTAACAACTTTATATGCTGTTGGGTCATTTTTTTATACTCTATTGTATTTGAAATAGTGACCTACAGTAATTGAGCTGCAGCAAGTAAAAACCAACTGCTGGACTCAGTACACAGAACCCTGAAGCTGCATCACCGCTGGTCACCAAGTTTATCAATATTCAACATATCTTGTGTCCAAATTGCACCATGTTAAGACACTGTACTTCCTCGAGCCCTCAACAAGACATATGCCAATTATGGAGCCAGTATAATGAATGGTTCTCCGTACAGACACACAGAGATTTCTGGAGGTAGAAGTTGATGAACCGTCAAAGTAAAATGTAACTAAATCGGATGAATAAAGGTAGTTGAGTAAAAAAGTAGAATTTGTCCAGAGATGTAGCAGAGTTAAAGTATACAGGAGCAATGAATAGAAATACTCAAGAACCTCAACTCTGCACTTGAATACTTGAGAATATATAGTTATTTACTTTTGTTGCAGGGAAACAGTCAAACCTACAAACATACTGTATCTACAACCAGCACAGATTTCCTCCAAACTAAACAATGCAAATGTTTCTAACACAACTCTAGTGACACCACAAACGCCGAGCTACAGTAAACACACCAGTTCTGTACAGCAGTTCAAATTGATCCACCTACGAAGCCATCCAGACAGAGAGGAAGAGGAAAAATATACAAGAGAATAGAAACATCAAATCAGAAGGGATACTTTGAACAAAGGGGAATGAGTGAATGATTCAAATATAAACAGTTAGAGATCTGAAGTCAGTTCAAGGAAAACAGGCGAGAGTCACTCCACAGCAGCTTGTAGTGAAGCACACAGGTCGTCTGAGGTAAGAGTGCAAACGCAGGAGCTACCTCTGTGAGCGTGTGACAGCTCTGGCTCTATGGGACCTCAGCCTTGGCTTTGGCCCTACGGACGGTGCCACAGAGGAATCGGGAAAACCGTTTATTTCATGTACACACAAACATGTGACCTATGTGGAGTTTTATACCAGTGATGACATGATATGGGGATCTTCTTAAAAACTGTATGTAGTCATTCTACTTTAAATACAGGGTTGGTCATTTGTTTGAGAAACACTTTTTTATCTACTTTGGTAAAATCCTCTTCACGTCCTGATGACCATGAATAAATAAAGCTGTACGCAAAAAAAAAAAGCGAGTTGACTAGCAGTTTTCAGGAAGTGCACGTTCATGTGTTTTAGGGGGTGGATGTATCGGTATCCTGCTCTTTATCCCTTTTCCAGGATTACCAACCTAACTCAAAATATCATAGAAAATAAATGAAACTTTAGTTTTGATGACACAATAAACTGGATGGGAATGCAAGTGTTCCCATGATGCTTTGCAGAGTGAATCATATACCTGCGGCCACTGGCGTCCCTAAGTACAGCTGCCCCCGGGTCGACGGCCCGAGCCTCCAACTCCTGCACCTCCTCCAGAAGAGACTTCCTCACGGTGCGACGTGTGCTGTGAAGCAGAAACAAGCTCATCAGACCCACGAAGGAAAGTCTGAGTGTTTCACTTCGCAGACACGAGTGATTCATGATGTAAAGTGCGCGCAAGTGTTGACACAGACTCAGTATGAGTTATGTAAACGCTTCGGTTGACTTAAAAAGCCTCTGTGTGGATTTCCCATGTATTTATGGTCGTGTTCTACTTACGCAGTCCAAGCGAAGTCTTTGAGTAAACACGCAGTCGGCACCAGGACCAGGCCGAGCCAGAAGTGCCAGCACTGCATCACCTTGCCAGCCTGCAATGACAACACACAGCCTCCATTTACTTCTCTCCGGCATTAATTCTATTTAGTATTAAGTCATTTTTCTCTGCAGCGAGCCCAGAGGAACACGCGCTGAGACATTTGAGAGCATACAGAATCAGAGTTCGCCAAACCTGAATACCTCTGATGTTCGCCAAACACATTTAACAGCTTTCTCCCACCCTGCGTCTGCGCCACAAACTGGATTTAACACAATATTCCCACAGCTGAAACACAACGCTTCTCTGATGCCAAAAGATAAAAAACTCTAGCAAGTATCCACACATCACCCCTACCTGTCTCTGCAGCTGCTCTCCCTGACCTTTGACCCCTCAGCCTCCAGGGATTAATCACCAATCTAACCACTGTCTCAATTTGTCCGTCTGTCTCCCCCGTCTCTCACTCCCACACGTCTCTTTCTCCTGTGGTTCCCTCCAGTCTCGCTCTTTCACAACTTCTTAACATTATAACCGGCTCTATCTTCGCCTGCTTGTCCTCGCCTGATCCTGTTAATCCTTCAGTTTTTTCCCTTTATGACCCAATATCTCCCTTTTGGTTATCTGCACAGAGCTCTGCTTTGTTTCACAAGCTCTCGTCTCTTCGTCTCTGGGTGTGAACCTTTAAAGTAACAGTCAGAAAGTACTTTATGCGCTATGACGTCCTTCACTGCAAGTTTATTGGATGTAATGTGTGCTTCCTGTGTCCTGCGATCGGATTCAGAGATACAGAGATAATTTGGCTCCCAGAGGGAAGAGGCGACAATGAAAATGAATCGGAAAAAACTATGAGGAAGAAATCACCTAGAGCAGCTGAAACCAGATGATCTGAGCCAACTCACGCATGCACTCACTGTGTCTGTTTGTGACAACAGAGGAGCCAAAGGTACACTCATTCTTTACTCAAGTATAAGTACACAGGGTACGGAGTTCAAGCACAATAAGATTTGCAAGCATGATAATAGTCCAGAATGAAATGCGTACAATGTGTTGAATGAAGTATTCTTAAATGTCGATATTATCAGCAATGTTTGAGTTACTACTCCTCACGTGCCGCGCCCCGTCTCTGCAGCTGAGTCTCCCTGTTTCTTTCTGGATATTACTATTGCTCGGCTTTTCACAAATATACAACGAGGAATTATATTTTCTGTGTTCTTTTCCATTTGGGTTGAAATCTGATGTTGGGAAGGTGGTAAAATAAAAAAATAAAAAAGATTCCTTCAAATGCATCAAAATAAAAGTTCAGATATTTGTTTTAAAATGTAGGGAGTCAAAGTAAAAGTCGTCAAAAAAAATTATACTTGAGTACAGATGCCTGAAAAATGTACAGTAACTAAGTGTTTGTACTTTACTTCCCACCTACACACAAAGGCACCAGACACTGAATATATTACATGCTCTTAATACATTTGGAAGATGGAGACAAGCTTAATAAATTTCTCTGCTTTGCTTTTATATCCGTAGAAACAGATTGTTGGTCTCCGCCACTTTACGGTCGACACAAATCACATATAGAGCATTAATTCTGACATTAACAAATTTACACACAGTTTTTCTAAGAACTCTGCAGCTATTTTCCATTATCCAGTCCCCCGTGGACAGATGGAAATATAGATAGCAGGAGTGGGGAGAAATGAGAGAGGTAATGGGGTAGTTAAGTGGGACGATGGAGGGTTGTGGGGGATGGTGGCCGAGTGTCTCTGACCATTCCCCAGTTAGACCGAGCAGCTGCAGAGATATTTGACCGCATTCCTGATTTCTGACACAAATTGAATTAATGGGCTGGGGTGAGTTGAGACGGTCCGGTTCCCTTCCCCTGCCCACTCAGGGGGGCACTCACCTCACCCCTGCCTTTATCCCCCGAACTCTAAAATGAGTCTCTCAATCAAGGGGTCTCAACGAGTGTCCCCCCCACACCCCCACTGGACCCTCGTCGTCATCATCATCATCAGCAGCAGCAGCAGCAGCAGCAGCAGCAGCAGCAGCCCACCCTCTTGAGTCAACACCTCCGCAGAGGGCAGTAAAAGACCGGGGGGCTCGGGTGACATGTAGCAGGTGCGGGACGCCTGGTGAGAGGGGCAGGAGGCGCATAAATCTCCCTCCGGGGTTCCACCAGTGCCGACGTGGAACACCCAAGAGGTGAGTCTCATAGGCGCCATACAGTGGAAACCAAGAACGAGGGAGGGGCAGGTGATGGGGGCTGCGGAAAAGAGACGTTGAGGGGTAGGGCTATTTTAACCCCCGTCACCCCCCCCTGTTACTCAAATGAGTGACACATGTCTGCTAGAGGGAGGACTTGCCTGGCCCAGCATGTCGGGGGCGATGGGGATGGTGGGCCAGATGGCTGAGTAGACGGCGAAGAAGACCATCCAGAGCACCATGCTTCCCCACACTGCCAGGTGGGAGAACTGCAGCGGAGAGAGAGAGGGATGGAAGAGAAGAGGGGAGAGATTAAGACACAGAAGAGAGAGAGACAGTGTGAGGTCAAATAGTTTACATACAGCTCGTCTGAATATAGACAACCTTTCCCTCCCTCCTTCCCCTGTCTTCATCCCGCTGTCTGTGATGTGCTGTAAGTGGACACTGTGTGAATTCCAGTGGGTCCCTGCTTCATTACTGCCAGGCTGTTGTGTGGACAGCTGAACGGACAAAGGTGTCGGAGCCCTTCTGTCCATCCTGCCAATCTCTCTCTCTCTTAGACAGCCGTGGTGAGCAAAACCATGTCAAAGGTCGAGCTACTGTCACTTTCAATTCTGACTTGATTTTAATACATAAAATGTGAAGCAAGTGTTTGGTCAGATTCTTCCACCATAATCTCTATGAACAGGGTCTGCTTGTGTATATGTTGAAATTTGTAGGTCGAGGGACAAGCTTTGGATTTTGTTTACCGTTGGTGGCCCGCAGGTAAACAGCAGAGAGGGGAAGGGGTGGAACACATTGAGCGAAATGCATGTTTATTTTTAGTTTTTCTGCATTCGTATGCTGATAGATAATAAAGTTATCTAAAATAATTTTTTTTACCTCTATAATTTAAACTTTTAAGACTAATCAGATCGATGAGACTAAATGTTCTTCATGACTCGAATATAACATTATTCAGGAAATGCATGTGTGCTTTAAATCAGCAGTAATTAAATCAGTCTTTACAAGATTCAAAAGCAAATTCAACGCTTCTTGCAGCTTCTTCACAGCAAAAACCTTCATGTTCCTTTAAGTGTTATTTCATTAATATTTGGATGTTTTTTAAGTTTTATAATCAGTGGATACAGCTGAATATAGCACGAGGCGGTGGAAAAAGAGCTGTTTGGAAGAAGAGCTGCAAGTAACTACAGTTTGAGAAACCTCAAACCTCTGCCACAACATCAAGGTAAACCACATCTCTTCTAAGTCTTTCCTGACTAAAAAGCATTTAGTCCATGGTGCATGAAATCCTCACCATGAAGCTCTGCTCCTCTTTATTTATCAACAGCTGAGTGTTGTGTTGCTTATTAAAGTGTGTTAATGTTCCTTACCCTGGTCCAAGCTGTGGTCTCCATTCCAGCTTTCAGACACACTGTAACAACCACATACTACACACACACACACACACACACACACACACACACACACGGGAGAGGAAGGGCAAATAAAAAACACAATTGAGAAACAAGATTAGTACACTGGCGACTGTGGTGATAATAAACCTTTATGTTTTATAGTAAGCTCAGTCATGTCTGCTGAAATAAGCAGGACCCCCACAGCCACTGGTAGCCTACACACACACACACACACAAAATAAACCCCACTGACATTCACATGACACTGTGGGGAGTAAACTGATAGCGAGACAGCGAGATGGAGAAGTGAATGGAGAGAGGAGATGGATGAGGAGGAGAGGAGACAGACTGGCTAGACGGGACTGGACTGACTGGAGACTCCGAATGGCTCGGAGGAAGCTGCACAACGCTGGTGTGTACACAAACACTGTGCACATTCAAAAATATAAACACAACTGTATGCCAAAAGACACAGGAGCAAAAATATAACACACAAGTAAAATACTTACTGTGTAGACCATGTTCCCAACAAACAGGTAGTCGTTTCCCTGACCGTTGTTGAAGGGCGAGTCTGTGTGGGAAAAACAAATAATATGCATCATGACAAAGTGTGACACAATCCACAATCAATTTACGCTGTTACTGTGATAATTCACTCACCGTGCTCTAACATTTTGAGCGGAAACCAAAAGAGGATAATTGAATGAATCAGTGCGTTGATGCAGTGTCCCCAAAACACCTGAAAGACAGAGAGAAAACAGGTCAGAACACATTTATACCCCACACACAAAAAACTGCAAAACACACAACTTTTTTGCTTCCAAAAGTGCCCTCCTGTGCTCCACACACACACACACACACACACACACACACACACACACACACACACACACAGGCACACTCCAAAATGAAAGACTTCCTTATTCTGGCCCTATGAATTTCATTAGGGGTCGCCATGGAAACATCTCAGTCTCCACGCCACTTGTTTACTCGCTGGTGTCCCAAACAAACAGCAGGCATCACTCGTCAGGCCCGCAGACGAGCCGCAACATGTGACGGGTTGGACTCAGAGCGCAAAGATGACAGATTTAACTTTAACTGTCAGATGAAGCACTCGGCTTGTTTGTTTGTTTGCGTAGGTGAACGCAGACTGTAAACGTGTGTGTGCCTGTACCTTGGTGTTGAAGCCCTCTGCATTCTGCGTGATGCGGTAGAGCTGCGGGAATCGGAGCATGTTCTGCTGGCTGCACGGCCGGTCAAATATCCCCAACGTGAACGGAGGCAGTGCAGTAAATATCTGGATCACACACACAAATACACACACATTAGTGACACATAGTGACAGATAAGTTTGTATACACAGACACGTGTACTTCTACTGACTGGACAATGCTAATATCGCACTACATCTACTACTACTACTTCAATCGACGTTTTCAGACATGAACTCTGGAAAATGTTCAGAACATTGGATCTGGTCAGTTTGTCTTTCACGTATGAGGAACACAGCAGGAGCTTGTTCGAGCAGCAGAAAAATGTCTGGAACATTCATGTTAGGGGTGGCACATGGGTAGAGCATGCAGGATGCAGAGCATGACGCGTTAATTATGCTCCAGATATCACATGTTTTTGTTTACAGCACATCAACACGAGCATCGCCAGATGTTCTCAAATCTCATTTTCTTTCTGAGTTGATATCTCTTTCAGCATCTTCTGCGTGTACGGCTCCTCTTATCATCATGAGATATCGGTCTTCTTCCAGTTTTGTGTCCGTCATGTTAGCTGTGAATGTTCCAGACATTCTCCTGCTTTACTCTCACATGGGCTCACTCGAAAAATTATACTAGGTGGCCGACAGGAAAAGTGATAGCAGCCATAGAGACACGCTCTCTCTCACAAACACGTGCATACAAATGTCTGTGTAGAGAGCAGTGATAAGAAAGTAGAGTGAGATTGATCAAGAGATAGGTGGACAGCAAGAGAGAGGGGGATGAACGTCAAACAGGCAGAGGGGGGGAAGATATAGTGGAGAAATGGAGAAGAGTGAAAGAGTAGTAATTTTAGAGGGCGTGTCGAGATGTAAACTCACCACATTGTAGAGGCCAATACACCAGCGCTCAAACAGGATCTGCCCAGAGAAGCCGTTCACAAAGGCAAACCAGAGCTGGGACACAAAGAGAGGGATGAGAGGGGGATGAGAGGAACAATAGCGGAGGGTAAATCTGCCTTTAGGGATGCACTGATAGTGGAAACAGTGCAGAGAGATCGACAAATTCATCCCGCTGGTACCAATACACAAGTAGTAGAGCTTGAAGGATGTACACTGAGCATTTTGTAAATTGCAGAAGATGAAGAATCCATAAATCTTGCACAATGCTTGTGACCTGGGCTCATTTAACTTAGTAGTTTCAGGCTACATCCAGACTACTAAGTTTTCATTTGAAAATGCATCAGCTCTGCTACGGATCCCCCTGGGGTCCAGTTTGGAAACTCTGCTGGCCTCATTTTAGTTTGAAAACTTCGGGGCAGTGTTTTAGTCTGGAGAGGCCGAAACGGGGATGTTTTAAAATGATGACACTCACAACCCTTTGCTGATTGGGTCGTGTTGGTCTTGACGGAACCTTTGCTGATTCGTCACTATCCTATCCCATGACCCTCTTCCAGATTAAAACTGATATGAAGCCAAAACAAAATGGTTTTATTTTGAATGAAAATGTGTGGATGAAGCCTCAATCAGAAGATGATGAGGTGCGATTCTGGTGCCTGGTGGGATGTTTTAACAATTTCTGTGATTCTAGGACAAACTGAGATCAGATTTCCTTCGAATGATGTTGCTCAAACACACAATAGGAATTCCTTGTCATCCTCATGAGGAAACCCCTGGAATAAAAGCAGCAAACATCACCTCCGCCTCAGCAGCGTTGACAGGAATTGTTTGAGGCAGAGAGAGACGATGGTCCACTTTGTTTAAAAAAGTCCTTCCAACGTATCATGATTTGGCAAAGACTTATCAATTTTTCAATGTACAATATGCTGGTTGTACTTCCTGTGGCTCCATTAAAACCATCGAGCATGAAGTTTTAAAAGCATTCCTGACGCAGCTTGTGGCTGCCTCTGAAACCACAGTCTGACTTTACAGAGCTTAATTTACAAAAACACAATGCCTCAATGTGACTGTGGCCCAGGGGAAACCTTCATTAACGCCTTGTTTATACACACACACACACACACACA